TTTTGAAGACACTTAGAAGTCGTGGTATGAAGCATATGTCCTCAGGGATAGTTGAATTTAGGCATTTTAACTTTTCAATTGTTTGTTGCAGCCTTAACTTTCAGGTTGTAACCAGCAGCCCTAAAGTAACATTAACTGGTGGCCAAGGGGAAGCAAACACCTTTCCTGCGGAGTGTGTGATGACCCGAGGTCGTGGGTGGCAGTCCAACCTGGTTGAGGGTACAGTCCCCGGCAGAATGTTTCTCTGACTCGTGTTTAATTGTTTCTTTAAATTTGAACACATTTGGAAAGCAGGGGAGCTAACCTCAACTTGCCACAGTCCTGCCAGTTCCTGTTTTACACCTGGGCAGACCGACACGCCTGCCCAACTCCATAGTCAGTTAGTATTGCCTTGGAATAAGGCGTGTCTCCAAGCCCGGCTGGCGCTCCCTGTCGGTCTTACAACACAGTTTCATCATGCTTCCTCCCGGCTCAAAACATGTTTGTGTTTAAAGCATATGCCATTTGTACACGAATATATAATTACGATAGTGGAGGAGCCCCCCACGTCCATAAATGCTCTGTTAATGTATAATTATAATGGCATTAAGTGCAGAAAATCCAGGCTTCTTCCAACCTCGGTTGATACAGGCTTAGGAAGCTTTGCAGCGACCCAGGTGCCCATTGGTAAACGAATGGATAAAGTATGTCGTGTGTGTATGTAATGGAAGGTGGGTCAGCCTTGAAAAAGCAGATCATGAGGTGCTGAGCATGGCTGAGCCTTGAGAACATCGGCCTGGCGTTGGGGGCTGGGTGAAAAGGTGAAGGATGAAGCAAAGAAAAAGCCCTCATAGACAGGGACAACGGCATGGCCGTCACCAGAGGGAAAGGGGTGCGGGAGGTAGAAGAGGGTACGCAGGGTAAATGGTGATGGAAGGAGACTTGACATGGGGTGATGAACACACAGTACAATATTCAGATGATGTTTTATAGACTTGTATACCTGAAACCTATGTAATTTTATTAACCAATGTCACCACAATAAACTCAACAATTAAAAAAAGAAATTAGCAAGTCACAAAAAGACAAATTGGTATGATTCTGTTTATGTGTGTATATGAATAATAAAATCGTAGTAACAGAAGGTGATTGGTGGTTGTCAGGCAGGCGGTGGGGAGAATGGGCAATTACTATGTATCTGGTACGGAGTTTCAGTTTTGCTGGATGGAAAGTTCTGGAGTGTGGTTGCACAAAAATGTAAATATACTTGACACTGCAGAACTGTACACGTACAAATGGTTAAGCCCATGAATTTTATGGTATGTGTATTTTAAAAAAGAGAAAGCTTTAAAGTAGCTGAGATAAGATCTTATATGTTTATGCACCCAGAAGTCATTTCTCTTACGCAGTTTCTCCTCATTGTTAACCACAGCTTACGCCAGCGGTTCTCAACCTGTGGGTCACGACCCCTTTGGCAGTCGAACGACCCTTTCACAGGGGTCGCCTAAGACCATGCTGCATATCAGATATTTACATGACGATTCATAACAGTAGCAACATTACAGTATGAAGTAGCAACGAAAATAATTTTATGGTTGGATCACAACATGAGGAACTGTATTTAAAGGGCCAGAAGGTTGAGAACCACTGGCTTATGCTGAGTGCTGAGCGCTGGCGGGCGGAGGCTGTGCAAGTGCAGGGCCCGCTGTGGGTCAGGATAGGCAGCGTGCGTCTCCAGGACTCAAGTTCCCATCATGTCGATGGCTTAGAAGAACCTCAGAAGTACAAAAAAGAGCCGAGAGTGTGTTACTTGCCAGCTTTTCAGAATAACTCAAATAAAATCTGTTTGGATTTTAAAAAAGTAAACATCAAAGAGTCTGAAAAGATAATGGAGGATTGTTTTAACACTCAAAGTGGGACCAGCCTTTTACACTGACACAAAGTCAGATGCTGTAAAAGAGTGGCATCACTATCAAATTTCCATGTGGCAGAAGTAACAAAAATATGGGCAAAAGATAAAGGAGAAAAGTATTTGCAATTGATATGAGATAATGAGCTAATTTCTTTCATGTAAAAATACCTTCATGTAAATTAATAAGAAAAAGGGTAAAATCTCAACAGAAAAAAATGGGCTGAATTCACAGAAAAGGAAATACAAATGTCTCCTAAGCTCATAGAATAATATCAAATTCACTCCTTAATAAGAGAAATTCAAGTTAACACCGCGGGTGGAAGACAAATTTCCCCTGACACACTGGGCGCTCCCGAGAGCTGGTGGTTGTGACTGGGACACTCGGAGGAGCTGGTTTGTGGGAGGGGAATTAGTGGCAGCTCTATCAAGAACAATTTATGATAATCTTTTATTATTAAAATGCCCACACCCCTCTGCGTTCCAGTCCCGAGAAGTGTCCCTACAGGCATGTAATCACATGTATGATGTGCACGCAGAGATAGGTGAGGAGCGTTTGAAGGAACGTCTGACTATTGGAAGCCAAGGCACATCAGTCAAGAGCCACGTTAAGTGAGTTGTGGTGCGTCCACACGAGTGTTACAGAGAATAACGTTTCAGAGAATGACATTGTTCTGTTTGTGTTGCCGATGACGGCTCTTTAAACTCTATTAAAGACAGAACCTATAGACCCAAATTTGGTTTGTAAAAAAGATGAGTGCGGAATGTGCACGCTGGCATGTGCATAGAACCTCCCGCGTGGCAGCCACTGGTCAGGTGGCTGCGGGGCTGAGCCAGGCGCTGGGTGGCCGGGGTCTGGGAAGGCTCGAGGCAGACCTTGGTGTGCCTGGGGAGTTGGTGTCATGTCTGTGTTATCTTTCCCCCAGAAAGTAATACTAAACATATCCAGCCTCACCCTAGCCAGTTTGGCTCAGTGGACAGAGCATTGGCCTGTGGACTGAGGGGTCCCAGGTTTTATTCCGGTCAAGGGCACATGCCTGGGGCATGCAGGAGGCAGCCAATCAATGATTCTCTCCCATCGTTGATGTTTCTAGCTCTCTCTTCCTCTCCCTTCTTCTATGAAATCAATAAAAACATATTTAAAAAAATATTCAGTTTTACTCATTATGTTTGTTTATTTATGTCCACTGAGTTGCAGGTTAGGATTTAAGGAGGTTTACAGATACACATAAAGTCCAGGTCCTCAGTTTAGTGGGACAAAGAACCACTCTCTTCCTTTTCCCGGTGGGATTTATTCCGAGGAATTGGCTGCACGGGTAGAGATGTCAGAGCTGAGACATTTCAGAGTGGACAGAGGCGCTGTAGAGCTAAACAACAGCCATTGTTGCTACCTGCGTGCTCGGGGACAGGAGGCGGGTGTCACTGGACACGGGCACGGAAGCTGGAGCCCTGGTGGGCCTGTCTGGTGGGAGCTGAAGTCAGAGCAGGAGATGCTGCCCAGGGCAGAGAGGCGGGAAGAGATACCCCAGCTTTGTGCCTCCCCCGCTCTGCCCCCCACCTCCTGGCTCCCACTGCTGCCTCCCATTGGCTGGCCTGAGCCCAAGAGTCTTGGAAACTCAGCCTGCTAGAGCCATCTCCCTCGATCTACAGAGGAGAGAGGGGGAGAAGCCACATGTGTTTCTGAGGACAAGTTACGCAGGGCTGGAACCACCAGCAAAACTGCAGCAAAGGGGAAGCCACGGCCAGGAATCAGACTGAGCCCAGACGAGACTGGCGGCTGCCACTCGCCGTGGTCGCAGCCTTGCTGTGAGGCGTCCCAGGCTGTGCACGCGCAGGTGTGAGCTCTCCAGGCGGTGCCTGCCTCGTTCATGTCGTCCCCGAGCCCAGGTCACACAGTGCAGGGTGCT